CTATCATCAAGAATAATAATCAGGAATAACTGGAAATTTTACCACTGGTCCTTTTCAGGGCCAATATAAGTATTTACTTTCACTATTTTACCATCAATCTTATTTGTTTTTTTAAGGGCCACCTAAGTTTTAACTACCTTTATAATAAACGCAATTTAACTACCGTTTCCGAAAACGTTATTCGTCGACTAAAAGACTACGTAAAGTCGTCCACTATTAAACAAAGTCATTAATTCACTGACAGACGTCACGAGCGGAGTTGTTCGTCGCAAGGCTAGGAACCCCAGTGACGACCCTATATTACCCTCTCGACTCTAAGCATTACACCAGGAATCACCGATCCTTTCTAAGGTCTGCGCTGGGCAAACCTAACGGCTAAGAAGGAAAAAAACTTGAGCCAATAAGAGTCTCCAACTGGCAAGCATCACGAACCAATTTCTCCATCTTAGATCATTAAAACAACTGAGTCTGAAAAAGGTGGTTTAGACACCAACGTCTTTGACGTTATACAAGGAGACGTTGGGAAAAAGCACTACAACTAGCTCCACAGCTTCGGACTTTGTGATTTTTCTCCCGATTAGTCTGAAGCTTCAATAGCAGGCCAGAGAAGATCACCCTGAGGTATTCAGATAGTCACAATTGCTGTAAACTTCAGTCAAGAAAGAAATTACTTAATAAGCTCACCAGTATTTTTTAGGGTAATCGGACGTCAAACTACATTGCCAAAAAATGTATTAGAACTTAATAATGTTAACAGAAAACAGCCTTTAGGGGTCACAAAAGTCTTAAGCATGCCAAAAGTCGAAAGAGGGTGGATTGGAAGAAAAACTTTAAATGAGTCTAATGAATACAATTTCAGGCATTAAGAAACTGACGCGGAAAATTTATCGAGGTTGGAACAGTAGCGTTAAAATCGACAAATAAAGAATCCATTATGCGAGAGATCAGCTTTTTATTGTACCCTTACAGTAATCTCTTAAATCTTTAAGGATCCAAATTCAGATTTTTAAATAAGTACAAAATGTATTTGTATTTTTGTGGCAATGAAAAATATAAAGATTAAGCTTCAGAACTTTGTTGCTCTAGTAATAAAGTTGTGGGATACAAGAAAAAAATTTTTTTTTCAAAACATATTTTTTGGGAGTTTAAAATCTTAACTTACTAAATGCAACACCGTAGTGTGCTGACATGTAATGTGAAACGTTTTCTGTTAAAAATTTTACATCTATTCTTGACACTTCTCGAAACAAAAATCTTCTTGTTAAAAACATATTTGTTCGCAATCCATACAGTTTATTTGGTCAAATGATAAGCTGTGAAAATTAAAAAAAAAATATAATCATGCTGAAAGGAACCGTGAGTTTCTTATGCCATGAAACAATCCTTGGCTATCAGGAGCCGTTAATTTCCAGTTTATCTCGTATAATTTGCAAAAAGGGCTATTTTTTCAATCTGTTAAGCGACTTTTGGTATGGTTAAGACTTTTGTGAGCCCTAAAGGGTGTTTTTTGTCAACTTTGTTAAGTTCTAACATATTTGTTGGCAAGGAAGTTCGATGTCTAATGGCCCTAAAGAGAATTGGTGAGTTTCCTAAGTCAACTCTTTTTTTACTCATGTTTCCAGAAAACGCGACTGCTTCAATACCTCAGGCTGATCTTCTCTAGCTAGTTGTAGAGATCTTTTCCAACGGCTACTGGTATAACGTCAAAGACGTCGGTGTCTAAAGCACCTTTTTCTTGCAGACTCAGTTGTTTTGGTAACTAAAGTGGGGAGATTGGTTCGTGAAGCTTGCTCGTTGGAGACTGTCGCGTTGGCTCAAATTTTTTTTTTTCTTTTATATCTGTTAGGTTCTTCCAGCGCAGACCTTGGAGAGGATCAGTGATTCGTGGTTAAATGCTTAGAGTCCAGAGGGTAATATAGGGTCATCGATCATCGGGGTTCATAGCCTTGCGACGAACAACTGCACTCATGAGGACTGCCAGTGAATGACTGACTTGGTTTAATAGTGGCCGTCTTTAGTTAACATAGCCTTTTAGCCGACGAATTGCTTTCGAAAATGGTAGTAAAAATGTATTTGTTGGCAAGGTAGTTTACACTTCGGTGACCCTCAAAAAAACCATTGAGATTGATTGTTTAGTAGGGAACATAAGTACTTATAATGGTCCTGAAAAGGGCCAGTGGTGAAACTTCCAGATACTCCTTATAATTATTCTTGATGATGAAGAGCTGGCTGCACGTAGCTGGACTCCTACCCTCGAAGTCTCTGTGTATGGAGACCGTGATGGAGGGTGGTACACCGATGACCAAAGAATATCTCGTCTTCAGGTTGTTTTTTGGATAACAAACCGCTCATCGTAGGTCGGGAAAGTTAGCCTAGAGAATACCTTCTCTGTGGATATGCCGTTGAGACGACTTCTGAGAAGGAAGCCGTTGTGGCTGCCCGTACTCCGCAGGGCTGTCTTTCCTGGCTTGCATTTGTAGTATAAAATTCTCTGACGACACGAAGACGGATGGTGGAACGGCCATATAATTCTTAAGTGTTAGAGTAGGTTATGCTCTAGCTAAATACGTCTCCTGGTATTTCACTGGAGACGGTATCCGTTAGAATGTTTTTTTATTGGTGGCATTCACTAATTCTGGAGGTTTAGGATGGAAGTAGACCTAGGTCACTGGCCCATTAAAGAAATCTGTTGTTGGTAACTGGGATATCCAGCTGCACAACTTACATCAACTGTTTCGATCCAGGTCAATGTACTGCTGGTCGACGACTGCGAAAGTTTAAGGGACGCTCCAGCATATTATAACCACACTTATTTAATCATGTTGCAGGAAGCTTTGATTTTATGTCGACGCCACCTAGTGGATCGTACTGAACTAACGTGAAAAGCTGGCGTATTTTTGAAAAACTTCGAGCTCATTTCTTGCTATTGTCATTTAATTTTTTAAGATAAAAACTATACTAAAACCATTAAAGAAGTGTCAAGAACTGGTATGCAAAATTTCAGCAAAATTGGTTCATTAGATTTCGCGGTTGGCGATTACAACAGTTTTAGAAACTTTGCTTTATATATTAGTAAGATAATTGATCGAGGAATTATTTCAAATTTCTTTAATAAATTATTGTTGGAGATACTTGCACTGTGTGGCTCATTATTAAAGCGTTTTCATTTTCAAGAAAACGCTCAGGTTGGAAGTTTTATAAAACTGACGTTCTCTATGAACTGGGCAAAGACTAACTGAAAGTTGAATTAATTGACAAGTGGGATGAAGTTTGGTCAGTTGACGAAAGAGACTACGTCTCGAACATGGGCAGAAGCTCATTGTAAACACTGTGTTCACTGATTTAAGTGATGAAAGTAACGAATAAACGCGTTAAAAAGTAACTAAAAAACCTATAATACAGAAAAAATGTATTAAAATCATGGAGTACTTCATTATATTGCCATTAGAAAAAGTGTAGGAAAATAAATATGGTTTGCTGAAACTTTGCTTTGAAAAAAAATAACATTGTATTCCAGAAATACAATTAAAATTTTACTTTATTTTAATGTTACTAGCTTAATTTAGTGCAGATACTTTTAAACCTCTACATCGATTTGTCTAAATGAAAGCAGCCGGATTATTATGTGTCTAGGTAAATTTTTATTTTTCCAAAAATTTGTTGTCTTTGTACAATATGCTTGAAAATAAAATGTGCCACTTACATAGACTTCTAAGCCATACATAAGTTCATTTAAAAATGCTTTCTAGGCTGTAACGGAAATCGTTGTTTCTGATATTAAAACGTGCTGGCAAGATAAATAAAATTTAGAACAATAAGAGCAAGATGTGATAATTACAAGCTTGTTAACATAGTAATATTTTTGCGACAATTTTCTAAGAGAAAGAAATTTTCTTTTTTATTGCTGAATAGTTCTAAGGCAAATTTGAATCGGAAAAAAATAAAACGAGTGCATATAAAAATGGTTTAGTACTCTGACAGCAACGAATTAAAAAAATCAACTAATTATGATTTTTTCTAATTTTCAGCTAGCAAAGTCTTGGTTTTTTTCTCCAAAATTATAAAATCTTAGAATCTTGTTAGGTTTTATTTCTTCCTCTACTGAGAAAAAGGTGTAACATTTGTATTAGATTAAGGAATAAACTATAAATAAAGATAAAAAATTTTAAAGCTTTAATTAGAGTTTACATGAGCGGAGAGTGCGAGAGAGAGAGAGAGAGAGAGAGAGAGAGAGAGAGAGAGAGATTTGACTGAACGGCTATGAATCTACTATGTACGGAATTTTAACATTAAATGCTGTGAATATTAATGAATAACTATCTGTAAAGTTACCTAGTCGATTAAAATCTTCTACGTACACCTTCCTAAGTGCTTCTTTCCACGTTTTTATTCACAACTTCTGAGTTAATTTATACACGACAATACTGCTCTCTTAAGCTTGTAAAGCACATAAAATAAGGAAATGAAAGAAATCAGAATATTTATTTAAGTGAGCAATAAATTTTCTTGAAAATTATTTGTATGGTAACACAAAAAATACTTAGATTTAAATCTTAGTGAATATAGGATACAATACTTGGACTACAGTAAATATATTAACATAACTTAAATGAATTACACTTTCTTTATAAAAAAAATTCACTGCCACTAAAAAAACTACGTTAGTTATGATGGTTAAATATCAAAAATTTAATTTTTATTAGATCATAAGTTATAGCAATACAAATAATTTATTATAGTTTACAGAAAAATTACCATGTACAAAAAACAACTAAATAGTTTATAATTAAATAAATAAAAAGCGCGATGTATAATTATGTTTATTTTGATTTTAACCGTTATTCTTTAGCTAGCTAATAGTTAGATAACCATTCCTTTTTTAGGTACAACAGTACAACTTTTTAATAACTATTTTAGAGTTAGTTCAAAAACATGGGAAAATTAATTCTTGCTTAAAATTTGATAAAGAGTTTATATTAAAACGGTTGGTATAACCTTACCTACGAATTGATTCCAGTCAGAATCTAGTGCAGCGTGTTGTGTTAGACAACCTTTCATTACATTTTCACACATATTATTGCAAGCAAGTACTTTTTCGTTAATACCGCTGCATGATGGACATAACGTCATTCGCGTGAGAGCAGCAGAACACTCATCTGTAGCTTTCAGCTAGAAGAGATATTATAAGTTATTCGTTAATTATTTAACAGTTATTATTACGTTCTACCTGTTGCATTTTTTTTAATACTTCTGACGAAACCTGAAGAGCTTGACTAAAGGCTCTAGTAGCTATAAACGAGCGCTTTATTTGTACTCCTAGTTTTTGAGGAATATCACCGAATGGTTTCATTTCCTTCATATGCTGGCCCACACATTCAAGGTACTTATTATCAAATCTGTACTGACTATTCAAAACAGTAAACATTTTTTGATAAAGAGTGTTAAAGAATGTATTCATAACTTCATCTAAATTTCCCTGAAAGTAAAAAATAACTTTATTGTTCACAAATTTTTATCATTGTACAAGGTACTACATAAAAATGCAGAAATATTATCAATAAATATATGAACTAAGGATTTTCTGTTCATGCAAGCATTTGATTGTATTATAAGTACATTTTAGTCAAAAATTCAATAAAAAAATTCCTAACAACGTTAAGTTGCGGAAGCGTATTTTGCTTGAAAACCACTACATTTGTTTTTAGTTACAAATGTCAGGGAAACAAAATAAAATGTTTGAATTTGTAAAGATTCCAAGTCTTTGTCAGTAAGGGATTAAATAACTAGTAATTTGCACACTTTGCTTGAGTATTTACAACGCTGCAAAAAAACTGTAGGAGATACAAAGAAAATATTCAAAAAAATCTTGAGTATTAAATTATATTATTATTAAATCTAATAATAACGTTCGAATTTTTCAAATTACGGTAAGAATTTGTTTCAGACCTTAAGTATACATTAGCGCTTACGTCAAGCGTAGTAACGATGTTACTAAATGTTTAGCCTTTCTTAATCGCTACGCGCGCACACACACACACACACGCACACACACACACACACAGAAGTTGAATTTATATAATTGACAGTGGACTCAAGGTCCTACAACGTCGAGGCATAGTGCTATATATATATATATAGAGAGAGAGAGAGAGAGTTCAGATTCATGCGGACTCCGCACGCTATCAATAAATTTCGGTGTTCCAATTTTTCAATTTTCCGGGCTCACCAATGAGTAGATTCGAACTTCCCAAAATAAAAACTAAGATGCCGTAACGCTACATAATGTCCCGTATCTTTTCAAAACGTTCGGTTACTTACTCCAAAGATGGTGAATTCAAATAAAATTATTTTGTACGTAATATAAGTGCAGGGGCAAAGTTGAATTCAAATTTAATTCGATTTTTTCTTGAATTCATGAGAGCCCGTCACTCTATTTTTTTTGCTAAGAGCCCATAAATTATCTCGTAATGCTTCGTTTCTTTATTGAATGTTGGATGGTCAACACAGATAGTAAATTGCACGAACATTAATGGTATGACTTAATATAAATGTCATAATTAAATCACATTTTTAATAACAGCACCTGTATCGCTTTGAAATTTTATATAAGCCTGTAGCACTCTTACTTTTCTCACATGAAATAAGTCATCGTAAAAACTATTCTAGTAAAGATCCAGCGGGGCTCAAAAATTATTAGTTTATTTCGGATAAAAAATATATACGTGTATAGGCATTTGTTTATTCTAGCCTTTGAAATATGCTGGATCACGTAAAAGGTTCCCTACAAATTTTTGCAACAAATATTTAACAGTTTATTACTAAAAGAAAGTATCTTATATAATTATAAATATCTGCCTACTGAGTGATAGTTGTAATAAAGAAATCTAGCAGCAGCAGCTATATATATATACTAGTGGGGCTTCGCCGCTGCAAGATCCGAGCACTAATCCCCCTGGTTGTGTTATAACTCTAATTTTTTTCAAAATAAACTTTAGGCTGATATTTTATAAAGCCTTTAAAAGTGATAGAATTAATTGTTTGTAGGCAAAAAAATATGGTCCAGTAGGTTTGACACAATTTGGAAGACTACGGCATTTTTTAAAAATATTGGACATAGATGTTTCATGATAGGGAATGATTACTAGGCTGCTTTTAAGGTAATATGAAGAACAGGCTGCTAATTCTCAATAAAAGTGGTAAAGTTTATGTAGATATAGAGATGTGCCCTTGACTTTTTTTTGTGAGCTTTAGTATTCCTTCTAGTGACCCCCTTTTTTAAATGAGCTGTGGATCCTGTACGTATCAATAAATGTTTCTAAAATTTATTAATCAAACACTCCTCGTTTTCCTTAAACTGTAGCTTACGTGCTGTCGTGGGTTAAAGAATATTACAATATATTGAACATCTTTTATGTTTAATGGTAGGAATATATTTCTAAAGATTAAATTGTACTTAATTTATTTATTTATTTACTTTTTTCTTTCAAGTCTTACTCGTAGTTTCAATTTTTATATTTCAAAATTGGACAAGCATTATGTTCTTTAGTTAATACTGCTGCTGTCTCCACTCGCTAATTGTAGTTGAGTTATACTGATATAAATAAGCATACAAAAACAACAAAATTACTTGTATAATTATCAGTATAGGTTGGGAGTGCGTTTACGTTTTCGGAAAAAAGCAACATTCAAAAAGAGGTGATTCCAGCGCCCTCTTAATTAGGTAATTTACTGGTAGCGTTTTTACTTAAAAAACGTACTTATTTACCAACAAAACTCTTCGTGGAAGAATTAGCATATATTATGTATGTATAATATTTCCCCTCGTGCGCTCCGGGAGACATCTTTCTGCATAAGATGAATTTCAACTGTAATCAACTTTTAAATTTAATGTAATTTTATTAATTAATACCATATGCATGAGATTAAACTATCTATGTGTTGCTCTAATTTAACATTATGACAAAAAAACCTTCTGTAATATGTAATCAAACAGTCTTGATGGATCAACAACTGTAGCGTTTACCCTTATACAAAGCCGACTCGAATTAAGAAAAGCAAAATCAGCATTTCCAACGTTATTTCAACAGAAAAATATTTCAATACAAGAAAAAAAAAAAAATAGATATTAGAGAATCTTAAAACACTGTATTTGTGAAAAGCGAGACAACTTATTTAAAGTCTTAATGAATCTGGTAAAACCAAAAAAGTTATAACAAAAAAGGGAGCGGAGTGGAAGGTGGGGGGAAGCAGGGGAAAGTAAAACCTAATTTTAAACTCTTACAACTACATAATAGTCGCTAAAACCGTTGTAATCACTAACCGCGAAAACGACTCAAACGATTTTGATAAAATTTTGCAGACTGATTCTTAATGATTCCAAGATGGTTTAAGCGTAGTTTTTTTTTTATATTGAGAACAATAGCGATAAATAAGCTCAAAGTAATGCTAAAGTAAGCTAGCTTTGCGCCCTAGTTTAGTAGGATCCGCTAGGTGGCGTCAAAGAAAAATTAAAGCCACCCGCAATCAAAGATAGTGAAGAGTAGTTGTAAGATGCCACATCGAGTTTTCGATTATCGTACTCGTATATCGGCAGTACACCAAGAACAAAGTCGTTAGTCGAGCAGCTGGGCATCCCGGCTACCGATGACACTCTTTTTTTATGGACAAGCGAAATAAATCGGTTTTTACCCCACATTGCCAAAACAACCGAATGCTACGAAAAAAACGAAAAAATGGGCGTTCAGAAGGTCGACGCCTCCGGGGAATACCAGAAGACGTATCTAGCCAACGCACATCCAGCTCCAACACTTTAGAGTTTTGTGGCTATACAACCATTTGGCTTGGAGCCGTCAGAGAATTTTCAATTTTTAATGCAAGCCAAGAAAGACAGCCCTGGTAAGTACGAGCAGCCACAACGGCCTCCTTCTTAGTGGTCGTCCAAACGGCATACCTACAGATAAGGTATACTCCAGGCACACTTTCCTGACTCACGATGACTGGTTGGTTATCCGGGGAACGACCTGAAGACGAGATATTCTCTAGTCAGCGGCATACCTCCCTTCCAGTACGGTCTCTGTACATAAAGACTCCAAGGATAAGAGTCAAGCTACCCACAGCTGGCTGTCCATCATTAAGAATAATAAATAATAAGGAATAACTGGAAATTTCACCACTGGCCATTAAAACTATCTAAACTAAAGTTATGTTACCGACTAAAGGACTACGTAAAGCCGGCTACTATTAAACCAAGTTATTCATTCACTGGTAGCCGTCACAAGCGCAGTTGTTCAGCGCAAGGCTGGGAATCCTGGTGACCGACAACCCTATACTACCCTCTCGACTTTAAGCATTCAACCTGAATCACCGATCCTCTCCAAGGTCTGCGCTGGAAGAACCGAACCGCTATAAAGCAAAAATAAACTTGAACCAACGGAGCAGCCTCCAACGGGCAAGCATCACGAACCAATCTCTCCACCTTGGATCACCAAAACAATTGAGTCTGCAAAAAAAAAGGTGCTTTAGACACCAACGTCTTCAACGTTATACCAGGAGACGTTGGGGGAGAACTCTACAACAAGCTTCAAAGCTTCCAACTTTGTAGTTTCTCTCCTGATCAGTGTGGTGCTACAATAACAGGCCAGAAAAGATCATCCTGAGGTATACAGGCAATCACGTTTGCTGAAAATTTCAGTCAAGAAAACGTTCACTTAAAAAGCTTACTGGTCCTTTTTAGGGTCATTGGAGGTCGAACTACCTTGCTGACAAATATTTTACAACCTAATTAAGTTAAAAAAAATAGCCTCTAGGGCTCACAAAAGTGTTAACTATGCCAAAAGTCGCAAGAAGATAAGTACAGAATTTATGAAGTGAGAGATAAGCTTTTTACTATAATTCTCATAGTTATCTCTTAAATCTTTCGGATTTTTAAATAGGTAGAATATAAACTTGTATTTTTGTGGCTATAAAAAAATGTAGAGATTCAGCTCCAGGACTTTATTGATGTGGTAATAAAGTTGTGAGAAAAGAGAAAAAAAAATTTTTATTTACATATTTTTTGTGAGTTCTGAGTCCATACAGCTTTTAAAATAGCTTTGTTGATAGATTATACGAAAGAAACTGCAAATCAACGGCCTTTTAGGGCCAACGAGTATTTTATGGTATAAGGAATGCTTGGTACTTTTTAGTATAATTACATTTTTTTCACTTTTTACAGCTTTTTACTTGACCAAATAAGCTGTATGGATTCTGAACAAATATGTTTTAATAAGATTTTTTTGCCGAGAAGTATTAGAATTAGAGGTACAATTTTTAACTGAAAATGTTTTTTATTACGTGTTAACACGCTACGGTGCTTCATTTAGTGAGTCTCGGGCGAAGCCGAGACGAGGGGGCTGCTAGTTAAACAATAAAACAAAACAATGGAATTAATGAAAACGTTAAAAAAAAAAAAATTACATTCAGCAGATTAAATGTAGT